GTATACGATTGCAGAGGGAATATGAGTAATGTCATGAATAGTCGTCAAGTAACCAACGCATCACACACGATACGTGTTTAGCAATTGTCTTCAATATCGGTTGCTTTTATTCACATTTCTCTACGTACATCCGCTTCCACTCATGATTGGCGAAATTCCCTGATGTGGGGAATTGCGAGAGTTTCAAATATTAGACTAGTGAAATATCCTGAAGGCAAAGAAGTAACTTCAGGATTGTGATTACCTCCAGTGTGAAACTTACTCCTAACATCAACAAATTTGAAAAACTGTTCTCCAGTCAACTTGGCGTCCACCACCGGAACACAACACACATGTGCGATATAATGTACATAATAGAAAGCGGAACCTAGGATTCTAATACAACGAATCACATCCGTTCGTTCGTAAAAGTGATAGAATGAAACAGACAAGCGTGTTTCATCAGAAACCAGTGTGATAGCTGAATATTGATTATAGAATAGTGTGCGGACGCATGATTATTATTTGTGTTATTGATGCACAACACATAATGATATATAATGCTCAGTACAAGTGTGTTATTTGAATAGCACTTAGTGAAGATTATGAGAAGTGTACAAATGAGGTGATTTCGGCAACGCGTAATTATTTACAGAATGATGAAATATTTGTGTTGGTTGAGGTCGATATCACACGTAGTATGTCTTATTTATAATTGTTACTATTTCTCATAATTTTACTTCAGAAATCATCTAATTATAACAATGATGAAATTAACAGCTCTATCGCAAACATCAATTCTGGTAGAATTATCCAATATTCAGCATGATCAGCTCAGAGAACCAACAGAAGCGATAGGACTTCTGATGTTGTGTAAAATTCATGAGATCAGTGGAAATCAGGGGTGAATAGATTCGATCAAAACTGAATTACCTTGTATGCTTTCCAAATGTGTTATGCACAAACATATTTCAGAATTCGCTGAGAAATAAATATCTTCAATGTACACATTATTCCTTCGGGCATGTTCACTAGAAGGCAAATGAAACTGGTCTATATGAAGTTATTTGATGGATGTCAATAATGTGAAAGTGAAGTCAATACGAACTGAATGTGCTACTGGGATAATTTATGAGGTTGAAGGCGTTTCTCAATTGCGAATATTGTAAGCAACACCTGACCAATATGATGCTGTGAATGTTCGAGGTGCGAATTCAAACTTGATAATTAGACCATTGACTTTGGAGTCCATGTGGATATTGTGTTTCTTGATAGTCATTGAAGAACTTCTTTTTAACATTTCATATAAAAGCGTTTCATTATGTCTACTGAAATGCAGGATTCCCTGGATATACCTCATATCACAATGGTTCACTTCCCATACCCTTGCCATTTCACTTCCTACACGCAGTACACAGTGCAATTTAGCTTCTCGAAATTTTGTTCCTCTTAGATTGATTAATTGTATGTATGCTAAAGTCTTCATGAATCCATTTCTACTAGTGCACAGCGAGTAGTTATCGCCTGAAGAATTCCATATTCATTTTGTCCCTGTATTCATCCACCTTCCTATTTATCTCAGTGATGAATTTGTGTTGAAAGACCGTACAACTTATTTTGACTTGCTGTATCAATGTACTGAGGTCTAATATTGATTAAGGAGAGGTCTTCCTGCTTCAGTTCGAATGGCTGATGAGTAGTGATTTTCACTTATTGAATGTCGTTTCATACTCTACACAGACGTCATGGAGTAAATGTTTGAAACGCTACTGAATGAGAAGCAAAATTGTTCATTGTCGACATGACTAGTATGGCAGAGACGAGAACAAAGACTGACTATGAACTATGTGAAAGTGAGATGAAATGGATATAACAGTGGAATAGTCGACATAAATTCTCAAACTGGTTGATGTTCTCGATAACGTATGCCTGATGATGTTCTTAGTGTTACACTTGATCATTAGAAACACTGTATAACATACGAAGCGTAGTTTGGTCCTCAGTGATATGCTTGCCCATACTAAGAATTCTCTCACTAACATGTTTCAATAATGAAAGCAACCACCACTGATGTATCGTCTTATATGAGAAACCTTCATACACATATTGGAAGTGTATGAATTCTGTCGTCAAACAGTATAAGTGAGCGGACTACTTCAGAATGAGGCCTGGGAACCACTTGAACCCACAACTGACATTCACACACATTCACTCTAACTCGCATCTTCGCCATAGTCCTTCCAGTTGTTACAATCACAGTCAGAGATAACGAATAGTGAATTTCCAGTTGAATTTGCATCCATGTGGTCAGCGATATCAAATGGGATGTGTGAAATCACAGATCCCAAATCGTCTTGTGAAATAATTTGCACAGATTCATTGTGGAATCAAGTGAAATTACCATCACGACTCCGGTCAATTACATGGCCATAATTCCGTTGACTCAGGTCAATTCTGCATGTTGTGTCACTCTCTAAATGTATTCAGTCTATTTGCTCAGTGGAATCGCTGAGCGATTGGCGATTGAGTCAGGAAGCAGATATCAAGTGTCAAGGTGACTCGCAGATGTACTCAGATGAAGGTGTTAGTGAATATGAGTAACCAGTTGTTCATATCATCATTTTGATTACACCCTACATGGTATTCACAACACAACTGATGTTACTGGACACTACACAATCTCGTATACACAAGCATACTTCACTTTCCATCGTCTGATGTTTCAGGCTTTCTATTTGAAATCCATCTGTGGAGAATCACACAAGGGCTGACTTGAAGTGAGATGCATTACACATGGTATCAGACTGGTTGATGGTTTCATCAGTTAATCTGTTCAATATTGTGAAAATGCAATGTGCGGATGGAGACAGATGAAACACTGACGTCATGTATGCGAGATGTTTCCGATGACAGGAATATCTGCCTACAACATTATCTGGATGTTGAAATAGTAATCATTCATCATTCAGCTGAGTTCGAGCAGGAAATATGTCATATGTGATATATGTGGTTGCCATCCGGCGATAAAATTCACACTCGAAATGGAGAACGAGTCTAGCATGCATTTCCTCGATGTGAACTTATCAAGAAGGACCGATGGAACCCTGAAAAGATCGATTTATCGCAACTGACAAATTTCTACAGCTGGGTACCCATTGGTCGAAAACGAAACCTGATCCGGTCGCTTGCCACTCGTATTCGGCGCATATGTAGCCCTGATACTGTGGAAGATGATTTATACATCTTGAGGAAAATCCTAATAGAAAATGGATTTCCACCACGTTTTATAGATAAGAATATTCATTCAAATCCTAAAAAACGTGAGTTATCAACCGTACCCAAGAAGACACTTTACATGAGCTTGGAATTCAAAGGGGAATTAGCTTCCGACATCATGAAACGGAGGATATCACAATCCCTGAAAAGAACATTCCCTGCTGCATCCGTGAGAATAGCCTTTACTAGTCGACCATTATTGTTCAATAACCTGAAGGACAAGATCCTGCTGTTAACCAACTCTATGTGTGTTTATCAATTCACCTGCTCTTGTGGAGCTAGGTATATCGGTCGTTCGACACGAGTTTTGTCCAAGAGGGTGCAAGAACACTATCCTGCATGGTTACGAAAAGGTGGAAGTGGAGCAATAAGAAGCGCGATCATTGAACATCTGGTTGATAATGATCACCCTATCTATATAGCCTCAGCCTTCAAAGTCATCTACAAGGCAAAGAGTAATCTACCCAAATCCCTACGTACTCGACTCATCTGTATTGCTGAAGCTTTGGCTATCGAAACAGAAAAGCCAGATCTCTGTGTACAGAAAAAGTTCGTTCAACCCCTCCAACTTTCATGGTCTTAATCCCTCTATGCTAAAGTATGGTAATCCCCAATCATATTTTAGCTCTACCAACTCTCCGTTTTTTCATTTTTTCATTTTTGTCTATTCAATTTGTATACTCTTCCTTATTAAGTCACTTGTTACTATTACTACTCTCACTTTTAATTGTCACCGGTATTATTTCACTTGTTCCACTTGTCATTCTAAATCAATTCCTTTATGCAACATTAAATTCTATGCTACTAAATTTCACACAATATTACGTAACGTTTTTATTTTTTCGATTTGTCTACTAATCTTATAATTGCACACCTTTTTCAAGTTCTATCCATCCTATGAATTATTCTATACATGACAATAATTTGCTTTGCCACTTGACATTTAACTACGATTATAATCACAAACATTTTAGTTTTAATTGCACTTCATATTATTATTATTATTTCATGCATTCACACCTATGTTTCAATTCCCTCACCGGATATAACTTCTTAAAAACCATATATATATACGATTGTACAGCTTGATGATAAATTCGTTGTTGAAAAGAGTCTCTTCGCTGAATCACCACTTGTTTTGATTTTCTATATATGTGGTAATCAAACTCAGTAAGATTTGAAATATACCTTACTTGAAATACCAATGGGGATCTGCACGAATACAGGTTAGAAGTAACTATTTCCTCAAAATCAATTTCCACTTTCCCTTCACTTAATATTCGGATTCTCCCACAAATATAGTGTGATTTGTCACATTCACTTCTATCAAACTTCATGTTTCAATTCGAAAGTGGTCGGTTTCTCATTCCCTTATATTCTCTACAGTCTATTCGATTTGTAACGAATGCACAAGTCTACAGTGTGACCGAGTAATTGCTCAGAAATTCTATCGTGAACAATCTAGTTGCAATAATTATAATTAGCCACCTGATGACAAATCTCACATGAACGCAAACACAGCGATGACAACCCATAGCAAAATCTTTCACAAATTCAAATAGTAACCACAATCGATCACACCCACCAGCAGTTTGATGAAGTTTGAATTCATGAAGAGAAAGCGGTGTAGCAGAAAAGTGATTTATTGAATTTATATAATTCGAAATGAAATATTTAATAAAGTTTCTACAGTCTTCACGTGTTAAGTATTACGCTGACATTGAAATTCTTCCTGGTACTTGTCTTCAATAGCCTGTATGAGAATAAAACCAGTTAGCAATATGATTGGATGAAATATTAGTGGTGAAATAATCAAGAAAGACTAGTGTTGGGAAGGAGGATGATTGTTGGTGAACTTTGTGCTTATTCATACAATCCGAGAATTCTGAGTATTTTCAGTGATTGATTATTTCCATTTTCATCATTTGTCAGTGTATATGAGTAGCCACATTTCAATGATTCACTACTGGTCGTGCGAATTTCACTAGATTGCTTGCATTCCCTCAGTGACGCGTATGAAATGTGCATGTGCATTTTCATGCATGCATGATACTAACAATTTATAACTATCACGACATTATTCATTGTGGCATATCCGAACGGTAACTTACAATACCACTCATGATGCTTTCACCAATCGATTAAACAGACGTATTCGAAAATGCGATTTGAACCACACACTCTTAGTGGGAGAATAGTCGACGGTGAAAAATATTATCTAACTGTTGCGGTGAATTTCTGCATCCTGTGTTGTTCTTTGCCTACTCATCACCCTCCATACTGTCTCACATTTCTCGAGTTTCAAATTTGAGTCACCACAGCATTAACAGACTTTCATGTGATAAAATGTGGAAATATGATACAAAATAAATCTCACCTCTCAATAGCTTCAATTGGGTTTCGTATAGATTCTTGTAAGCTAGAAGTTATAAAACAGGTTGAGAAATATTTGAGTTGACCAGTGAAAATGACTGTTATCTATCACTGCGTTTGTTTGATAACTGACATTAGATAGGCACTGACTATTCTTGCAATCACCCTTACTACCTTTACACTGTTATCCTATAAATATGGTTGCGATTTTGATGTTTAATCATACAGAGAAAATGAACTCACTGCTATGAACACCATACCAGTGATTCAATGTAAATAGTTGGTTTATATATTCATCCAGTTGATCCAGATCTGAATTAAAAATGAACAAAGATCTAGCAGAATGGATTTCTCAGAAAAAATTATGAAATTTGAAAACCACGGAATATACACATTGGGTCATGAAATTAAAGGACGCAAAATAGTCTATTTCACACAGAGATTCGAATAATTTAATACTCTATAAAATCATCATCACTTGCATGATGTTAACATTCAACAATGTCAAAACTGCCATCATCATCATCATCAGTATGTTAGTAGTCACTCAGTTTCTCATTCACAAGATTGTCTTTCAGTGTGTGTTTCTACTCATATTCACACCACCTAAACCTTTTCATTGGTGGACGACTGACCACATCCTAAACACTAAACTTGTTCATCCTCCATCACACATTATTACCTGACTCTTGGAAAATACTCATCATAGATTATCATACAATAAGAGGTGGATGTTCATGAATTCAAATCATGACGAAGATATTGTGACATGTCGAAATATACCCTCATCGCGTAGGTGTATGTGAAAATGTTATTCATTTCATTATTAATTGAAAAATATGAACAAGCATATACCTTCTTGTTTCATTGCAGGTGGATTTTCGAAACATTTGTTTAAAGGGTACTCCTTCGTCTTTTCTATTTATCGGTGAGCAATAGTAGAAAAACAGTCTGATTATTTTTTACCTACATTTAAATCAAATCAGGTATGTGGAAACTGGCATTTCGAAAATCGTTACTCCACACAGAGGTAGTCATTCAGATGGATTAGCATAATAAAAGGCTACTTACTCTGATATGCTGAGAATTCTTGTTCGACACAGTTTAATGTACCGCCTAATCCAGTCTCTGTAAATAAATTAGTTTCATAGGTATCAATTCATGTCTATGGTTTTTTCAGTATAGTATGCATATAAATTTATGCAGGTTAAACGCGAACACAACCGAAATTTTGACAAATTAAAATATGTTTACTAGTTGACAGATTTTCAACGAAAATCAGAAATACAGTTGTAGTCAAACATCTGTCCTCAAGCACCTCCACATTTTCAGTGTTAGCAAATAAAAGGCAGGACTGAAATAATAATAATAGTTGAGATAGTAACGCATGAATATAAGCCAGGTGGAGATTGTTAGCCAGAATATTGACGATAAATAATTATGATGGTAGATAAGTATAGAAATGATTGAAAATGTTTAGCTTACCAGTTTCCAGACGACTTATGATCCCTATGAAAGATAAACAGTGGTTAGAAGTATATATAGCAGCTCTGATCAACTTTCAGTCAAGAAAATTGCGAACGTTCATCACGTAGCAGTCAAAAATGTGATAGTTAAAGAAATGACCAGTGAGAAAGCATATCACCAACTGTGATTATATCACGAAATTCACTTCTCATTTATAAAATGGAATTAAAATTATATTTCGAATGGAAAGAATTTCGTAGAACGTACTGTGAAATACTGTCTCTCCCCATTTTTATTTGTATGCAGTTTCCAGGCAGTTTATATCTAAAATAGATTGTCCATCATTTCAAAAAAAATATGGTTCGCTTACGCTTTTCTATTTCTCCTTGTAAGCCTGCATATTGACTGAGAATCTTGTCTAGGAAAACAGAAAGACGAAAAGATTGAGTGCTTACAAGCTGTGGAGACGTGTATTTCAATTCTTTTAATATTCCCATTATTAATATTAGAACAAGACATATAACAGGCGAACAATGTTGTTGTTTGCAATTAGATCTTCTTCAGGCTTTACTCTTATTTACATAGATTTATATATAACAATCTTAACCAGTGACGGTGAATTTGTGGACCAAATAGTAGTAATAATAATGTGATAGATATTTTGAACCTCTGTAATAACGATGATTATAGTGATAAAAAAATAATGATAATATTAAGGATTTTGCAGGTGGAGATAAGAATAAAGAAGGTAGTGAGTGATATGTGTATATGTAATTAGGTCATATCTTAAAAGTTACACAATACTAGGGGTGAAGTGGACAGAAAATCGGACTTTAAATAAATATCATAAAATTACTAAGGAAAGGGAAAGGAGGAAAATGTGGGGTTTCTTCTAATAAGAATCTACCTAATCCAAGGGACAGACTAAAATAAAACAAACTTCTTTTGTATGCAAAGACTAGGATTGTTCTCTTGAATTCCAATAGCTTCGAATATGTGTAAGAGGCAGGTTCGAATTCTGTTCAGAAAGCTCGATGGAAAGCGATAGAGAACTTTGAAGGCATTACTTCTGTCCTTTTGGTGACCGCTATTATCAATTAAATGAGTCAAAATAGAATGTCTTATAGATTTTATTTGACCTTTTCCGAACCAAGAAGGAAGATGGTTATTAATACGTTTGTTAAGCTGTCTAGTTGTTTGCCCTATAAAGCCAGCTTTCTCCACAGGAGCCGCTAAATTCGTAGACATGCATACAAGTGACTCAGCTAGGTGGCTTGTCTTTTGCTTGAGCAATCATGATTGGTCGGCAGCTGGAAAATGACAAACAAAGGGTGGCAGCGGTAAAAGTCCGTTTTATTGCTCTCGATAATCTCAGATGTAAGACTTCACCAGCCACGTCCCATTTAAATTGCGATTTCATGAACAGTTGTTTCTTTTTAATTGTTGTCAATTTCTCTTTATTTTACCTGGTGTTCATGTGTTTCCTTACAAATCTACTAGGATAACCCATTTGGACAAGCGTATTTTGGATATATCCTAACACATTTTCTGGTTGATCATCTGTACAGATCCGTCTTGCCCTATTCTTGAGGCATCTCATCAAATTGATTTTGTGTTGGATTGGTACAGAACTGAGAAAATATGCATGTTGTCCTAGAGATGTAGGTTTCCTGTAGACATCTTACTTGAGTGAACCACTCTCTCTTCTACTCATTTGGACATCAAAGAAGCGTAGTCCACCATAATGTTCTTCTTCACAGTTGAAGATGAGTGATGGGTCTGCATCATTATATTTTATCAACATTTTCTTCTTGTAAGCTTTCACATCAAGAATAACAAATGCATCATCAACATAACAAAAATAAGAGTCCATTTTATCTATTACTTGTTTCAATGGACGATTTCCAAGGTTAACAAGAAAGAAATCTGCCAAAATTGAACCCAATGAAGAACTCATGGTAATATCGGCGATTTGTGTGTAGTAAAGGTTGTTGAATGTGAAGTGTACATTCATAGTGTATCTTAGGAGCAGTTCTTTGAGATTAGTAATTGGAATCCCGATGTCGAACTGTTTTTCCAGTATCTCTTGGCATATGAATTTCACAGTCTCCATAAGCGGTACATTGGTGAACATTGATGCGACATCTAAGGATAGCATTTGCTTCCCATTTACATTATTATCATGAACGTTTGAAATGAATTCAAAAACGCCTTCAACACTATGATTTACTACATTCTTTGCCACTCCATGGCAGGTGGAATAAGACATGTCTAGGACTTCGGGAAGAGGAAGTCCTGGTTTATGTACTTTGGGGAGACCATGCAATCGTGAAGTATTACTTCCAGTAGGTTTAAGACGGTTGTAGGCTGCCTTTGATATTACTTTACTTTACCTCATTTCCTTCAGTGTGTTTGTCAGCTGCTTTTTAGCCTTTCCATCTAGATCTGTTGGGGTGTTAAGCTTTTGGAGTTTAGCTTCGTCCTGTAAAAACGAGTTCATTTTGTCTACGTAATCACACTTATTTATCAGTACTACTCCAGCTACTTTATCAGGTCTACTGATTATAATGTCTTCGTTGTTCCTTAACTTTCTTACGGCTTCTCGATGCTGTTTAGTCAGCAAGTTTTTACTAGAATTGCTACTGTTTTTATACTGTTGACAACTGTCAACTGGTGTAGTTTTAAACCGAGCGCTTTCATCGTCTGACAATGAAATCAAGTGTTTTGTTTGTAGGAAGAGATTTTCAAACTGGATATTGGTATCGAGTCGGTTGACCTTATATCATTGGTCACAAAATCTAAGACCCAATGACAATTCTTCTAACTGTAATGTATCTAGTGTAACACTTGCAAAATTATGGACATACCGATAAGGGTATGAAAGGAAATCCTTTTCAGGATTTTGACTGTCTACTGTATGCCTGAAGAAGATCTAATTGAAAACAATATTTCAATTCTCTTACTATCTGCGGCATACTACGTAACACGAAGAATGTCTTGATATCATCAGAATAATAATAAAAATAATAATAATAATTTTTAAAGCATATTTCGAGACATATTTTCCTCGGCGTTAAAATATTGTCAAATATATAAGGCATCACGCTTTACTTACCCTTAAGTTTATGTAGTTCTTTTTCTGCACCTTTCATCGATAAAATGACATTCGGTATTATATCTGTGGGGGAGACGAGGGTATATTTTGTATGAACTGTTATACAGTAATTGAAATCATTGAATGCAAATAAATGACGCATATTGAAAATATTTTCATCAAAGCTGTCTGAAGGAATTTCAGTGAAGTCACTCAGCATACCCAAATAATATATCTACTTCGCTGTTTTTGCGCCAATCATTCTCCACATTGATGCCAAGGAAAACCATGGCTACAACGATTACTGTGAGACTTTTGTCATTCCTAAACTATTGAAGTGATAAATTTTCAAGTTGATTAAAAAAACTCAAATAATATGAATGTCATTCATTCTTACATTCACTTTCGTGTAACTTCCTTCGAATTTCATTTACATTCATCGATTCACCTTGAAATGAAATGAAGAATTGTAAAAAGGGGACGACAATTATTATACAGAGAAGAAGTCCTAGAATACTGAAGATTAATAGAACAATTTATCTACTTGAAATGCATCAAACTTCTCCCTTACAGCGCCTTATGTATGTCAGTGCAGTGTATAAACACGTCATCTCAAAATGTGTATTCGAGAAATTTTAATCTTAGCAAATTTTAGACTGACACATTATGCAAATGAGAGAATATTTCACACTGTTCAACTGTAAATATACACAGTTATTGAGTCGGAATCAGGAGAACAGACGCCTTTGCTGTTGCACTGATAGACACAATCTATCAAGCAAGATGAATTCGATGTGAAAGCATCGGCAAAATTAACCATTCCAGAGTAAAAGCTCAACCAGAGAGAATGAACTAAGAGAGTGACTGGCGAAATATTCAACAGTTCTAGTGAATAAGGCAAACATATCGTATGGAAATAAGCCATAAATATACCATCTTTTGAAAAAAAAATGCTTACCTGCATTTACGGTTGCAAATGCCAACAGAGTGACGAAAGCTATGTGGTTGTAAGCAAAGTAGACCATCTTCTTATGTGAACTGGCTTTCCGTCCGCTTATTTATACCACAACAAACAGTCACAGTTATTGTTGTTATTGGTTGATTACAATAATCACGATTTCATCATTCATTTGTGGAAGACTGTGAGTGTTGTGATTGGTGAGTGAAGCAACGTCTCATGATGTCGGGTGACTCATATAATTAATCGGTGAAATCTGATAGGTGTGGTGAAATCTATCAACCCGCGAAGACTCATTAATCCAGATAGTGAGAATAATTTATGTGATGGCGTCCACATGACGAAAGCACACTAGGAATACATAGCGTAAGATCAGAACTGGAGAGTCATCCAGTGTAAATTATCCAGATCGCATAGATCTTGGACGTATCGCTGGTTTTAGAAGACTAAGATTAAAACTAAGCTCCCATTCCGGTATACATTAATTTATAGTATTTTTATGCGGAATTTCATATTATTGAGAGATATGTGATGATATGGTTGACTCTGATTGATTTCCTTGTGATCAGTTTCTCTCTGATTTCACTGCTCCTGTCTGATTTGTTAGTTCTCTTGAGTCTCACTATGTAAATGCTGTCAACATCTTCAAACTATCTCCTACATCACGTACAATAATGAGGACATTTCTTCTTCTTCGTGTATGTGATCTTGTGCTTCAACTGTGTTTGGCATCTGTTGTTATCTGGATTTGAACAGAAAAACGCCATATGTGTAGTCTATGCGTCATTCATAAGTTCCTGGATTTCTTAGATATGACCTCTCATTACTGATAATGCCATCGTCTCTCATCATCCTAACCTCCAGTAGGATTTCAAAGGAACTCAGTAAATCTACATATACATTATGAAGTTTTCAGTTGACTCCATATCTGAGAATGTGTGATCAAGTGGACAATTTGATTAGTGGCTGTTTAACCATGTACAATGGATGCTGTACACTTAGTTTATCCTGAGTTTTAGCATGCGTCATGTGGACGTCGAGGGTGAATACGAAGGTGGAAGATTATCCGATTGAGTGACTTACGGTGAAAACATGCTCACTGACTCAACTATTTTGCATAAAATTCATAGATAATAAAATTCACATTCGGCCGTATAATGGGTGTTCTCATTCGGTTCCGAGTATCTTTATTGTGAAGTGTTTTTGCGCTACTTTGATTTTTTTTTCATTTTGCTTACAATTCGAATATAAATGAGCAGTAGGCATGGAGTATTATTATTATTGTATCCTTTAATTCCTAGAGGAACATAGGGCTTCAGCCATGCGTCTCCATTGCGTTCGGTTCTCTCCTAGAGTCTTCACCTGCCTCCAAGTCTGTTCACACGTTTTCATCTCCTCTTCACATGACCTCCTCCAAGTCACCCTTAGACGATCAAATCGCCGCTTCTCTTTCGGGTTCCACTCGAGTGAGGGCTTGTCTAGTGATGTCACTTGATGGTCTCCTCAGAGTATGGCCAGCCAATCCATCTCCATTTCTTCCTGCATATTTGTTTCACAATCGGTTCCTGCTGGCTTGGTTCGCTCCCAGAGATCCCTGTTGCTGACCTCTTCTGGACATCTGATCTTGAGTATTGAGCGAAGACAAATTGTTAATGAAGGTCTGTAGTTTGTTTGAGATGCTCTTTATGACGCGCCAAGTCTCTGATCCGTTCACCTGAAGTCCTATCTATCCTGGATGCTTCTTCTGCCAACTTGTTGCTTTTCACTTGCATATCTTCCAGTTTGTGGGAAATCAGACATATATCATCGGCGAAGTCCAGATCCTCCAAGTTTTTTGTGTGTGTCCATTTCAGGCCTGTTTCCTCATCGCCCGCCACTCTTTGTCGCATTATCCAGTCTACTGCAATCAGGAAAATCATTGGTGATAGTAGGCAGCCAGCTTGTCTTACTCCTGTCCTCACTTCGAAGGATTGCGTGAGTTTCCCGTTGTGGATTACTTGGCATGCAGCATTGTCGTACAGCTGTTGGATGATATGAATAATTGTCGGTGGCACCCCGTAGTAGCGAAGTAGTTACCAAATCACCTCTCGATCGATGCTGTCAAAGGCCTTTTCAAAGTCGATGAAGTTTAGATAGAGAGGTGACTGCCACTCTAAGCTTTGCTCAATGATGATCCGTAATGTGGCGATCTGATCAATGCATGACTTGTTTCTCCTGAATCCAGCCTGTTCCAGTCGAAGTTTTTCATCCAGGTTGGCGTGTTTGATTCTCTCCAGGATGATGCGGCTTAGTATTTTGCTTTGGATGGACAGGAGCATAATTCCGCGCCAGTTCTTGCATTGACTTAGGTCTCCTTTCTTTGGTAGTTTGAATAAGTATCCTTTCTTCCAATCTTCAGGTACTTTGCCTTCTTTCCACAGCTTCTCCAGTAGTGGTGTCATCAAGTCCGCTGTTGTCTCTGGGTCCGTTTTCAATGCTTCTGCTGGGATTCCATCTTATCCTACTGCTTTTCCAGCTTTAAGCATGGAGTGGGTGAAGAGAAATATTGTAATCTTTAATTAGTTGTAGTGTAGTGCTTTCAACGGGAATGAACTATTCTTATTGAGTGCAACTATATGAGACACAGTTTTTGTTTCAGACACTTTATCGAAGGATTTATTAACATCAAATTTCAGGAAAGTTTACAGTTCTGTCCTATTGTTTATTTAGGCGACTTCATTATAAATATCTCGAAGGCGATTGGCCATAATTTATCTGCTACGCATCTGTCATCAACTTTCAATATCTTAATTATTTTAGCGTGATTTCGGATAATCAAGTGGATATTATCTAACTTGTGCTGGCGGTCTCAGGTTATATCATCATCACTGGGATGTTCACTGGTAATCTGGTGGCCATCACAAATTGAAAGATGCTTAGATTGTTGTATGTCCTAAGTTTGTAATGCTTGAGCATCATTTGAAAATATTGTTTCGTTTCAGTAGTACAGAAAATGCCACCATTTTGTTCTTTAGAATCAATCATTTCATGTTTGGGAGTTCAATACATTTCAGAAAAGACAATGAGTTCTTCAAATTACAACACCAGTTGATCATTTCTTCGTCTCAGTCTGATTAAGCCGTGTTTGAAGCGAGTCGTTGTCACCAAAGAGATTGTTTGGACGGTATAATATTCCATGGCGATGCAGTGACCCCAAAGAGTGTTTCTTTGATGTAATTGTGTTCTTTCAGCTGGATGGTTCACTTGCGAATCTTTCATTGCCCTACACTAGGTAACATCTTGAGCCCTTACTGCAACTTGTTGAAGTGAACTTTACAATTTCTCCACGAGTTTATTAGTCACCTTTCCCAGTGACATTCAACGTGATGGATTGCTTTTCCCTGTTTTTACACCCTCAAATCTACTTGTGTTCGTATTTATTGTATCCTTGACTTGAATTTTCACTTTTTGTCTATGAGACATTCCTCTTATGGATTGGTAAATTTTATCATTGTCAATGTGCCTGTTAATTGCCGATTCACTGGAATGCCAACCACCGAGAAATTCCCTGGTGTGCTTGAAATTTAATCTGCCTCAGTCAAATCGGTGTCCGTGGTTGTTTGTATGCAGTATGATATGATGTAGCGGGTATCATCTTGTCATTTGGAGGGTAGATAGTGTTCGCGTATGTGAAGACGAAAAGGGTGTCCACTTTGGCCAAACTATTGTTTTTCGCACTCGTTGCAACCTATTTTGTAGATGATTTTGATTTTATCTTCTTTTGCTGTTAAGACATTTGGAATGACATAAAGCCAGCCGAGTGGAGTGATCTCTTTGTTTTGTGTGTGACATCAATTCCTCAACTAGAGCGTGTGAATATAGAGAAGTGCAACAAATCATGTTGAAGGACATCAGGAGAAGTGACTGACAAACTTGCGGAGAATTCTCGAAGCTCACTTCAACAAATCGAAGTCTTGGCTGAAGATGTTGCTTAGTTGGACAATAAAAGCCTCGCAAGTAAACTATCCAGCAAAGATAACACAACTACATCAAAACCATTCACATGAGCTACAAATCGTCTCCATTATACCATGAAGAATGTCTCAAGAGTTGCTTTCAAATTATAGTAGATGAAGGACTCTCTCTAGAAAGAATATTCACATCTATACAAGTGCTCATTATGATGATTTGCCCTGTGAAATTGCTTTAGTTCACACTAGAGCTATTTGGTTTGCATAATATCGAATTAGGCGATTTTACTGGTTTGTGCGCTACATCTATATCTAACGGTTTCAGTATTCTAGCTGTTATTTCAGAGATATTCCTCATGTATGGTAGAATGAATTTTCTTGTGGTCTTTGGTCATCCTGGACAAAGAAGACTACATAAAGAAAGCAGAGGATTTACTGAAAGATAATAATGTATATCAACAGCTGACAGAAAAACCCTATACAAACATTAGATAACAAAATCAGGACAACCTTAAATAAACTAACGAAATTAGGACAAATTACAGAACAAGATCAATGGCGAATGAAATCTAATAGACCTATTTTACCTCGATTCTATGGTAGACCGAAACTACACAAACCAAATATTCCCTTACGACCAATCGTTTCGCTTCCAGGAACACCAACATATAATCTATCTAAAGAACTATTCAGGAAATTAAATTACCTAACAGAATCATGCGACCATTCCATCAATTCGTCAATCCAATTTTAGAGAAAATCAAAAACATTCAAGTAGAAGACAATGAAATAATGGTGTCCTTTGATGTCACAGCATTATATACTTCAATTATTCCAAAACTAGCAATAGAAACTATGCAACAATTACTCTATAGTGATGAAAACACAAAAAAGCAATTATCAACTTGGATAGAACTCATAAAATTATGCCTTACAACATACTTCCAGTTCAATACTCAAGTATATGAACAAATAAAAGGAACACCAATGGGATCGCCTATATCAGAATTAATAGCTGAAGCCGTTATGCAAAGATTAGAATTAATAGCTCTACCTATAATTAAACCGAAAATCTGGATACGTTACGTTGATGATACATTTGTAATAATTAAGAGAA